GAAGACCCCACAAGAAGCAACTCCAGCAGAGGCCTCCACAAGCTCCACATGGATAGATGGACTTGTGACATCATTTGAGATGTCCCATTGGGGGCTCTCAGAAATATTTGAAGGAAATATTGCATGGAGTGGGGCTCAGTGTCATTGCAACTCATTGTTCAAGTAGCAACCAATCACTTATTCCCTAGGCAGGTGAAAACTAAATGCACACTACACCGTTAACCATGGTTGCTTCTGCGCCAGCATTCTAGAGAGTCCATTTTCTTCTTTATATTTTTATGGAACTTTCCAAATTTTCCACTCTAAGCATTTGTAATGAGAAAAACAAAAGCTATGAATACAGAATATTTTCACTTTCCTTCCCCTTCTGGCGCAGCGGAAGCCCCTGCACTGCCTAAGGCTACTGTGGTTTCTCCGCCTGCTGAACTCCTGCAGTAACTCTTGGGTACAGATCCGTGTTTGTTCATTGTTTTTGGTACTTGTGCCAACTCTGGGAGCTCCTTCAGGATAAGGAACTCATCTCTTACTCGAGCCCTCCCCCTCCACTCACTCTGCTTTCAGAAGCTGTTCCTCAGAACTTGCCCGGCCTGCTCCCACCCTGGGCCTTCGTACTTGCTGTTTCATCTGCCAGCATCCCCTCCTCCCTCATGGCCCAACCAGCTTGTGGGCTCACGGCTTCTCACCTTCAGTTTTTACTCAAATGTCAATTCTCGGCGAGGCTTTCCCGGACCAGGCTATTTATAATTGCACACCCTCCCAGTACTCAGGCCCCCTTTCCCGCTGCTGCATTTCTCCCTATGACGGAGATCTCCACCCGACATGCTATGTAGTATATGTCTCCATTCCGTCTCCTTACACTAGTATGTCAGCTCTGTGACGGTGAGGGTTTTTGTCTAGTTTGTTCTCTGCTGCAGTCTCATCACCTAGTACATATGCCTCCTATGGATAGAAGATGCTCAATAAATATTTGTTGAATGCGTGAGTCCATTTTATAACAATAGTTACCACGTACCAGGTACTGTGGTAGGTGCTGAGTCATTCCCTCATTCAGCCTCCACCGTGTTTTGAGGTCGGTAGGATTATCCCTGTTTTAAAGGTGAGGAAACCAAAGCTCAGACAGGTTAGGTGACCCAGCTGAAGCCACATGCTGTCATGTAGCAGAGCGAGGCCAGGAACGTCCACTCCAGGAGGTCTCCTCTGACCTAGTGGTTCTGGTAAGGTGGCTGTCCTTTGCTGGGCTCAACACCCAGCAGGCCTCCGAATAGGCTGAGGCTGAGGCTGCTGCTCCCCCTGTGCTGATTCATTCCCCCGCTGCAGGGACCACAGAGCTGCTGCTCAGAGGTATCATGCCTCAAAAATGGGCTCCTCTCCCAATAGGTCCCTTCTCATGACAAAAAGCCCACGACCCTACAACCAGAGAAGCCAGCTTGGCCCTCCCCTCCTTACTGCCTCTACTCTCTGGCTTGCATGCTCTAGGTTCTGATGTAAATGAGCACAGCAAGAAGTTTTCTTTCCTTCTCTCTAGCCCATTTTCCCAAAGGGAGGATGGTTGCTCCCTGAGCACCTTCCGAAGACCAGCAGGGTGGAATACCAGCAAGAACCCAGAAGATTTAGGTTCAAGTTCTGGATCTGCTGCTTGCTAGTGATGTCATGATCTTGGGCCAGTCATTTAACTTAATGCATTGACAGAACAGAATTATTCTTTCCCTGTGGTTTCCCTATAGTATTGTAATATTGGCAAATGTGGAATCTGCCTCATGGGACCGTTGTGCAGACGCATAAGACAATGTGGTTATCATACTTAGCACCATGCCTGACACAAAGCTTAATAAATGCTGGCTGCTATTGTTATCGGTCATGACTGGCTCGGAAACTGGGCAGGGTCTGCAATCAGCTGGTAGGATGGGGTGTGGGCGTGGATTGTAGCTGGCGACCACTCCAATCACCCATTAAACCCCTAGAGCTTCAGTTCTCAGAATTTGTATTCCTTGTTCAAGGTCACATAGTCATGACTTTTAAAAGGCCTTGATTAGGACATTTTTCAGAATACCTAGCCTTCTTAGTCAGTGAATTATGTTTCTGCTAGGAGGTAATTGTTGCCATCTCTGCTGGACAGCACAATTTGAGGAATAATTTGCACAAGCATCAATTGCCACCATGACCAAGGCAGGAAGCATAATTATCTCTAGTGGAAACTGTGATTGAGCCTGTGAATTGAGGCCTGATTTGCAGGGGCTGTACATGAACTGCCACCTCTGGAACACTATGTGCCTGCTAGATGTTGGGGCTGTAATCAACCTGTTTCCAAACACTCATTCTCCAAGTTCCAGTGCGTCGTAAGTCCTGACTCTGGTGTCAAGATCTCTGCTGAGTCTGTGGCTGAACTGAGACCTTCCTATTGTCCAAGACATGATTCATAGTTTTCCAGGGAATTTCCTTTACTGGCTTTGCTTCCTAGTTGTAGTATAATCAGTATGATTTGGAGCAATCCATCTGCCACCATTCCCCCAGTAGCAATGCCCTGCTGTCCCCACTCAGTGTTTCACCAGAAGATCTAGTTTTATTTGTGCCTGAAGGAGGAGATGGGGGGGATCCAGGCCTGCCTTTTCCCTCCTGTGAATGACCATATACAATAGAATTCATCTCTTGCCCTCACCACGGCCAGTGTCTGCTTTACACATGGGCCCAGAGGCCATACTTTGAGTACTTCTGAGAAGCTGATGATGGCATCTGTGACATGGGAGGTCTTTCATCCTGAGGCAAGGGTATGTGCTCTGCCAGCCCTTTGTACCATCTGGAAACAACACTGGGAATCATATTTGCAGGTCTACAAATGTTATTTGATTGTTCCATGGCATGAAAAACTTAATTTGAGGCTTAGTGGAGAGAGCAGACTAAAGAAGGCTGAGGCAACATGGCCTTCAAGGGCAAAACATGCTGAGTTTGAGCAAAAACACACATTCTCCACACAGTCAGCATTCTGTGAACACTGGGGAGAGTACGCAGAGCTGGGATCAATGTTCATGGATAATTCTCCAACTTTACTTTGCCTCCTTTTGACTCTCCTGCAGGCCAGTGTCTTGTCATAATTACCTTGGCTACACAATCCTTGTTTGTATCCCCAGAGAGACAGTAATGTTTGAAGTAAGAACATGAGTCCAGAGACAGATGACCCAAGTCTGGAAGGAGCCCCAAGATGAAGGAAACGTAAAATAGTGAAAAGTGCAGGCTTTTGACTAAGTCAGACTTCAGTTCCAATCCTTGTTTTGTTATGCACTATTTGTGAGACCTTTATAGCTTCTCCGAGTCTCAGTTTCCTTAGTACAAAATGGAACAGATAATGTCTAAACTGTAAGACTGTTATAAAAATCGCTAAAACATATGTAAAGCATAAAAAAGCTGGCTCATCTTAGGTATTGAGTAGATGGCAAGTATTACCATCAACATCTGTAAAATGGAGATATTTAGTAATAACTTTGCAATGTGGTTTTGAAAAGTAGGGAAGAAAATGCCTTTGGCCTACAGTAGATGTTTAATAAATGGTACTGTTGTTAATCCCATCTTTGCCAGCAAAGTCACATCTGGTAAAATAGGGAATATTTCTATTCTACCTTACTCCCATAAGGACTGGAGGGAATTATACATGCCTCGCTTGTTTTTTTGGAGTTGTGATAACTAAAATCACACACAACATATTGGAAGTGAGGAACGGGGAACAATGCGCTAGAATGAAACACACTGGATTGAGGGGTGAGGGACTTGGGTCCTAGTCTTGGTGCTCTTTTGCTGACCAAGTGACCATAGGTAAACCACCAAGTAATCTCACTTTCAGCTGCAGGTTCACACACTGCTGACCTCTCAGCTGAGTGAGAAAATCAAATGTGAGAAATTGTTATTGTTTTTTGAGGATAAAGCCAGTCTTCCCTTTTTAATCTTTAGAACCTAGCAAAGTCCTTGGCATAGAGTGGGCACTCAATATTTTTGTTTAATGAATTATAATTTGTCCATAAGTCACATTTTTAATCATTAGTAAATTGTTTTGCCTATAAGCTGTTAGTCTTTCATCTCAATCTAATCTGTTGGATCCCTGGGCCTGTGTCCCAAAGTATTTGTATTCCATGCTAACCTTAACATACTCAGAAATGTCTTTTGGACACACCTGGAAGTAGAAAAAAAACCTGACAATAAAGAGAGAAAGCTGCTCTTCTGTATTTGGCAGCTGTAGGGCAGTTTTATAATTCCCCCCAAACCCATCTCTGGTTTGGTTACAACTCCTCTAGATTCCTCATTATTTTATGTACCCATTCTACAGGATTTATCCCCCGAGTGAAGGTGGTAGGCATTGCAGAGGCCTGGGCTGCTTATGTAGATAACCCTTCATGGGTAGTCAATGTGAGGGATGCGTTACAAGTCTCCTCCAAGTGGAAAGCGGTCGGTGCCAGGGGAGAGATCTTTAAGTGTAACTTCTCGGTAGTAGGGTACATCATACGTACTCTCCCCGTGCACACTACATATTGTCCCAGAATTGTTATATTTGGTCTCGGAGGGTTTTGGTAGAAGAGGGAACCTTGTCAAGGTGAGAGAAGGGAGATGGAGAAGACCAAAATGCTAATAGTCACCATCACTGTGTACTGTAATAAACTGCCCTGGAACAAGAGCCCTGGCAATGGTGGAGTGTTTTCCAGATCAAGACTTCTTCCCACGTTACTGAGGAACACCTGTGATCTTGTCGTTTTTAATACCATCTCCCACCCTCAACATCTTCTTCCTCTTTTTCTTCCCCTCCCCTCTTCCACCCCATCTTTCACCCCTCCTCCCAAAGCCTGATTAAAGCTACAAGCATTCCAGCTGGGTTAGGTGTCTCTCTGTAGCCTTCAACTCACTGCACTTAATTTCTGGTTTATTTACTTACTGTCCAGTTCTGAAAAGTACGACCTTTATCTTGTTCAACATCCTATCCTCAAATGCCCCAAATAGTGCACCACACTAAAGATGATGCTTAACAAATGTTTATTTAGTGTACCAGAGTATATTTCTAATTTACTGCATTTTTTTCTCTAGATACTATAATAGCTAAGCAAATAGGGGTACATGCCAGTCTTTTTCCTTTATACAATAGACAAAAAGTGTTGGGAAGCTAGATGCCAATCAGCTATTTTTTTTTCCTGGTACGAGATCATTATAGTGCAGTTCCTTCAAACCATTGAAGTACAGTACTACAATGCTGCATAATTTGTTCAAGATCACAGAATAAAATACAAAGTTTTTCAAACCATTTTACAAAACTGGCCAAACTCTACAACAAAATCCTACAAGTAGAGCAATCTCATTTATAAACATCCATTTAACAATATTTTAAACATCACCTAGCAAAATACAAAAGTTAAATCCTAGTTACACAAATACAACTCAAGAAATAACAACCCTCCCCCACCTATAATACTTAGGGCTCAAAAGTAGCTTCCATACCCCCACCCCCACCCCCTCAGGCTGCTCGCCTTTTCATCAGCCCTAGCTCGCATTGGCCCTGGCCCTGACTCGAGGCCTCATGCGGGCCTCAGCTCTGGCCCTGTCAGACTCATCTGCCAGGGCCTCACGGTACTGCACTGGCCATTGCTGGGCTCCTTTTTTATGGAGCTTGGCCACGAACCCCAGGATTTTCATCTTGATGGTTTCCAGGTTGCTTCGGGGACCTCAAGAGAATGCACATTCCGGGCGATTGGTGTGAGGCACCCGCCTCTAATTGGGGTATCGCTGCTGCACAAAATCTTCCATAATAAGCCTCTTCGGGTACCCAAAGAGGAACTGGTACTTTGAGGGGCATACCCGCAACGGACGCAGCATCTCCCACACCTGTGCCTCCCTGGCGCTATTACCTTTCATGTAAATAAGGCCCAAGGTCATCATTAAGAGACCCAAGCTCCCAGATCCTCCTCCCCCTCAAGAGGTTTTAGTTTGCTGATCAGCATGTAAGTGTGGTGCTTGCGACCAAGCTATTTCAGCTCAAAACCAAAGACATATCGCAGATGTTCTGCGACCCTAGCGATGATTTCAGGGAACAGAGCTTTCAAGTCACCAATAACGTATTTCACCATCTCGGAGCAAGTGATGGGACTCTTCTTTTTGCCCTTCATCAGCAGGAAATGCAACTCCGCCACCGTCCGAGCCAGATGGCGGTAGGCCCTGCGCCAGCTCACGGCCCTTGCACCTTTTGGGGTGCGGGCGGGCTCCACAACCCCCTTCTCCCTCATGGCGCCAAGGTCCTCCTTGGGACTCTCCTGCAGCAAGGGGCTCGGGGCCTCCTCCTGCGAGGCGGTCAGGGTCTCACCGTCATGACCGCCATCCTTCTCCCCCTCAGCCTGAGGGATGGGGAGACTCCCGCTCTCGTGTTTCTGCAACATGTTTTCGGGCAGCCAGGTGCAGAGCGCGAACACGGGTCGAAGGGTGTGCGGGCCGCTGCAAAAACCCCGGCGGTGGGGTCGGACAGCGGATGGCGCGGCGGGAGGAGGACTAGAAGAGCTGACAGAGGGGGCTGTACGGCTGCCGGACTGCACCGCAGAGAACGCAGGACCACTGCCGCAACGCCGCCGGCGCCAAAGACGCGCGGCGCGGCCACTGCGCAGTCTCAGTCCGCGCTCGCGCGCCGGCTCGCGGGGCCACTTCCGGCCACCTCTGGCAAGATGGTGGCCGGGGCTGCAGGAAGACCCTCCCTTTCCGGCTCCCTCTGGGTTTTGGGGGGTACGCGCTGGCATCTCTGTATGCCGGCTGTTTTGGGGAAATGTCCACTCATCGCTGCTTTTTTAGGCTCGAGAACTGGAGGGGCGGTGCCGGGGTTTTCATTTCCAAGGCACGCGGAGTGGGGAATGTTTCAATGTACACGGATGAAATAGGGATGGAGTTGTAGCCACGTCCTTTCAGCAGGTGCTCACTTATAAGTGTGTGTATCTCGGATTTTGAGTGATTTACTGTGGCTCAAGTGCGGAGTGCGTGGAGGTGAAAGCTGGGAGATAAGGCTCTGCGGGCCAATTAGTGAAAGGCCTTGAACAGGATAGGATGCTAGGGAGGTTGAGATTTATTCTGAACACGATGGAAAATACTACAAGGGGATTTAAACTAGGGAGTGTCTGGAGCAGCCTCTGTCTTCACAGTGTCCCTCATGGCAGTGTGGAAAATGGACTGGAGCAAGGCCGACCAAAAGCTGTGAATCCAGTTTGGAGTTTTATAGTGTAGAATAGGAACTGGGATTTGGTCTGTCTTGTTCATTGGTGTATCCCTAGCGCTCAGAACAGTGCCTGCCACTTTGAGGCACCCCGTAAATATTGTAAAATAGATGACAAAGACCCCGGTTAAGGATAGCAGAGTCTACAGAGATGAAAGGAAAATGAAGAGATATATTGAAGTACAGCTGGCAGAAATAGTTGACTGATGGGAGGAAAGGGAGATATATATTTTTTTACCTAGTCAAATGTAACTACTCCTTTTTTTTTTGTATGCCCTACTGTGAACTTTCTCCCACTTCTCTCCCCCACCCTTCTCTCCCCTGACATTTAAGGTTCAGCTTAAGTGTCACCTTTCCAAAATCTTCCTTAGTCTCCATGCAAAGTTATTTACTGCCACCTCCAAATCACCATAGCAATTTGTTTTTATTTAATATCCACTTATATAGAACTTATTATGTGCCAGGCTATGTCCTAACCACTTTTCAAATATTAACTTACTTAATTCTCATTAAGGTAAGTACTATTATTATCATCCCTATTTTACAGATATGTCTTTCTTACGGTGTTTGCTGTTTACTAGCTATGTAATCTTGGGCAAGTTACCTAAACTCCCTGCCCTTTAGTTACCTTATCAGTAAAATGGATGTAATAGTAGAAACAATATTGTGGAGATTATGTGAAGTTGTGCATATAAAGCATTCAACAGAGTGCCTGACAAATATAGAGTGTTCAATAAATATTCACTATTATTTATTGCATATTTCTAACATGGAGATAATGTGCTAGGTATTTACATGTATTAACTCATCTACTCATAAGCTCTGGTAGATAAGTGGTATTATTATTTCCATTTTACAAGTGAAGTAACACACAGGGAGGTCAAGTAACTTGCCCAACATCACATGACTGAGATTTGAACCACAGTATGACTCCAGAGATCATGCTTTTAACCACTGTATTAATAAATGTTAATTAGTATTATTGACCATACTCTGCATTATAATTATTTTTATGCTTGGCTTATTACCTTCCATAAACAAACATCCTAAAAGCTCGGGCCATGTCTTTAACTTTGTCAAGAGCCCCTCAAAGTTGACACTCAGTATGTAATTGTCACTGAATAAATGATGGAAAGCTTTACTTCTTTACATAGGAAATAACACTTTTTAAAAAAAATTTTTATTGGGGAATTGGGGGATGGGAATAGCGCTGGGGATTTGGGGGAAGGGGAACAGACAAGTTGCTGTCCTTTTTTGTTCTTCAGTCTAGTTGTGGAGGACGTTGCTTCACTGGCCCAAGTTGGCACCATCATTGTGCTCTTCCCGGGTGAGACAGATCAGTCGCTGGCTTCTGGACGGCCGCTCACGCTGGCTGCTGGCTACACACGGTAGCCCATGGCAACCCACTGCCACAGGGGCGGCAGCCTATGCCGTGGCCGGCGACTCATGGCAGCCCAGCTCCAGGTTGAGCTGTGTTCAGCATCTTAGCTGTGGAGGGCAGTGTCACTGGCCCTCATATGTGGGATCCGAACCGGGGCCCTGTGGCGTCCCAAGCCAGTTCTTAACCAATGCGCCACTCGGCCAGCCTGAAATAACACTTATTTTAAGTAAATATCTGACAATTAGACTTTTCTAGATGTACATGGAACTCTTCATTTTAAAAACTTATGAAATATATATACCCCATTTATACTATATGACTTACAGAATCTGCAAGTGTGTGAATGAAACAGGAAGATGTTTATTATAGTCTAGCTTGAAGCTGTTATTAGTTTCCATTGTGCCAGACATTTTATGTACAGTATAATTTAGTCCTCACAAATCCCTATTAGGAAGGTATTATTACCCTCATTTTACAAATGGGAACACAGTCACAGAGAGGTTAAATCACCTGTCCCAAACCACCCATCTGTTAAATGCTAGACTGGAAATGAAAACCTAGATCTATTTAATCTGAACATTGTACTCATGACCCCCATGCTGAATTGGCTGGTTATTTGTTTCTCCTGAAGGCAGAGAGAACCACTCTTACCTAAAAGGACAGCACTAGAAATAAAATAGTCCACTTATACCGGGGGTGCCAAAAAATGTACACAAGTGGACACTTTGGTCAGCATTGCTCAAGCAATAGTTCACCATAATCAGAAGTGTCTGGACGCTGATGGTAACCACTTTGAGCACCTCTTGTAATTGCAGAAGTCAAATGTGACTTGTATTCATCTTTTGTTATCAATATATATTGAGTATTACAATTTTCATACAGTTTTCCTTTTTAAAATGTGTATACATTTTTTTGGTACCCTTTGTATGTCTTCCTCATATCAAACATTGCCAAGAAGACATGTAGGAGATATATGCATGGAAAGGAGCATATAGGAAATACACTGGAAAGAATTTTGAGTAACAAATTAGCAGTAATGTATGGCAATTTAAAAAACTAAATGAGTAATATACTACTACTCATCCAAAAAAAGGAACAAACTACTGATAAAACATGGATGAGTTTAGTAGACATTATGTTGAGAAGGAAGAAAGATACAAAAGATTACATATAATATTCCATTTAATCTGGTATTTAAGATAGGTTAAACTAATCTGTGGTGCTACATTAGAACTGTAGAGGGGTTGACTGGAAAGGGGTATGCATGAACTTTCTGGGGGTGATGGGAATGTTCTTTATCTTGGTTTGGGTGTAGGTATAAATTTGTCAAAGCTTATAAAACTTCCCTTAATTTGTATGCATCTCACAGTATATAAATACACCTAAAAATTATGAAAATACAAGTTTTTTCTATTGAGGTATAATTGACATAATATTAGTTTCAGGTATACAACATAATGATTCTATATTTGTATATATTGCAAAATGATCACCACAATAAGTCTAGTTACATCCATCACCATACATAGTTACAAAATTATTTTTTTCTTGTGATGAGAACTTTTCAGATGTACTCTCCCTTAGCAACTTTCAAACATGCATTACAGTATTATTAACTATAGTTACCATGTATGAAAGATTTTTAAAAAGTGAATCAGGGATGGCCGAGTGGCGCATTGGTTAGGAGTTGGCTTGGGACGCCAGCTCTGAGCAGCAGGGCCCCGGTTCGGATCCCACATGAGGGCCAATGACTACAGCTAAGATGGTGAACAACAGTTCGACCTGGAGCTGGGCTGCCGTGAGTCCCGGCGATGGTGTAGGTTGCAGTGGGGCTGGCTGGCAGTGGCCATGAGCTTTCGTGAGCTGCCATGAGTGGCTGTCCAATGGCTGGCAAGCGACTGCCTCACCTGGGAAGAGCACAATGATAATACCAACATGGGCCAGTGAAGCGACGTCCTCCACAACTAGACTGAAGAACAAAAGGACAACAACTTCTCTGTTCTCCTCCCCCAATTCCCCAATGCTGTTCTCCTCCCCCAATTCCCCAATAAAATCTTTAAAACAAAAAAAGTGAATCAAAACTCTATGGGGCATGTATTTTTGTCCTTATTTTATAGAAGGAATCAGAGGAATTCAGGAAAATTAAGTAACTTGCCTAAAGTTACCCAGTGAATAAATGGCAATGCCAAACCAAATCCAGATATTTTTAACTCAAATCTCGTAATACTTTTCAAGACCATTGAAGTGGCTTTCCTGTTCAGATTGTCACTGAAATTCACAAGATACAATAGGCTTACCAGGCATGAGGTTTACTTCACCTTAAGAAGGGATACAGAATAAGGAGCAGAATAACCATGTTAAGCTAACAGTATCATAAAGGCCTTGGACATCCAGAGCCAATGTCCCAATCATCTTTTTTTTTTTTAAGGGAAACTTTAAAGCAATCTAGTTTTAAAATGAGTTGAGGTTAAGCGAGAGAAGAAAACATGAAACCTTTTAACGGAGTCAGACAGGAGGGAGGATGGTCACTGGACAGGGACTTCCATGTCAGATCTTCTCTGTCTTGGAAATGAGGTTGGCAGAGTCTGGTCAGTACATTGTTTTCTTTAGTCTTCTGCTCAACTGTCTTCTTCAGCAAGTGGATGTACACCTGCTCCTTTCTCAGGCTCACCTTGAAGGCCAAGGCCTCTGTTTGGACCTTGTTCGGGACCTGGGCAATCTCCTTATTTGCCAACTTGAGTTTCTCTTCTGCATGCATCTTCAGTGCATGGTATCTTTGGCCTTCTCAATTCTCACTATGTGATCCTCAACACACTTCTGACTTTGGGTGATGAACACTCAATAGAATATACAGATGTCAAATTATAATGGACACCTAAAAATTATATAATGTTATTAACTAATGTCACCCCAATAAATGTAACTAAAGAAATAAGCAATCCTTCCCTAAGCTGTTAAAAGGGAGGAAATGTCTATCTCTTTGGTTGGGGGAGGGCAATGAAACAAATACTTG